AGTAGCCAGGAAAGCAGATGATCAGCAGACGTTGAGTTTTCTAACCAGAGCAATGGTGAGGGAAGAGCTGTGGGTCCAGAGCAGGAAGGCTCCATAATAAGAGGACAGGGCACCCTGCCTTCAAAGCTGCAGAGAGCAGGCTGTCTTCCAGCATGTCTGGGAGTCTCTTCTCTTCGTCCCAGGGAGAAGCACACACAAGCAAATTTAATAAGGGGAATAAGTAAAGATGATCCTTCATCATGACAATTTCTTCAGGAAGGGAAGAACAGGACTTCAATTCCCCACATCCTGACCCCAGTATCACATTCCTGTTACTCTGAAAACTGCATCTGATTTTTAATCTTCCGATAGATAGGAATTCAGATAGTTAATGCCTTATGAAATAAATGCCCAAACATCTCAGTTCCCTTTCGCTTATCCAATCGTGTTTTATTTCTAGTCTCTTATTTTCTACTGCTAACATCTGCACGCAAACACAACCTTAGTATTCTCAATCTCATCTGTTCCCGCTGCCTATTCTCCACCTGAAGTCACAACCCCCTGTTTGTCACCTCATAATCACTTCCCCAGCAGAGCACTGTTGTTTCAAGAGGGGAATAAAGCAGCAGGAGTAGATGAACTCTCAGAAACAAAGACCCTAATTTCTTCCAGTAAGGGACATCCTTCACTAAGCCTATTTGGTTACAGAGTATACCCTCTTGGAGTCCCGCAGTCATACACGAATGCTAGAACAGCATCCACATAAAATCTGCTGGTTTGTCATAAGGCAAGACCAAATATGGGCGGGCAAATGCCGCACAGGTATCACTCAAAATAATTGTTAGCTTCTACTCACAGGGCAACATTCACTGCAAGGAATAAAATACAGTGGTACTTCAGTACTCGTTAATTCGTTCTGACAAGTGGTAAGCAAATGCTGATGGATGAAGCATTTTTTCTTGTCAAAGTGCGACGAGCACTGGGTTTGACAAGTTCTGAGGCCTACGAGTACGGAGTTATGGCTCTATGTCCAGAGCCATCCTGACTGAGCCAAACTTAACAAGACAGTGGTTGTGGCAGTCTCTAATGAAAGCCCTCTGACCTGGGGACACGCCAACCCATGGAGGATGAAGGGTTTATCTGCAGTCTTTGGTCGACACTCCTTCATATTTTCCCTAACTGGGCCAACAGTCTCGTTGTCTTCTCATTGTCACTATTTACCTTTCCTCCTTTGCCTTTTGTCCAAGGTTCTTCCCCAACACCCCCCAAAGGGGAGGGGGAGTAAGAGGGAGAGGATATAACAAAACATGGTTTCCTTAATCACTTATGAGATACAAATTGAAACAGCTCTGTCAGGAGATAAAATACCATTTTCTAATTCACCCATACCAAACTGGAACAGCCCCTCAGCAGAGGGGATGAGGGTGATCACAATGTTTCTTGGTCATTTACAGTTTAAGCAGGGTTTTCTGTGCATTCAATCCTGGGAGAGGAGCGGCAGGTTCTTCACGTGTGACATTTTAAATATTGATCAATAAATCTTAATTCTAAATTAATTATCCATGGAAAGAACTGATATGCACTTAAAGTTATCTGGAAGTTTTCCAGAAGGCTCCATGTTTGACTCAACTTTTATTTTTTTATCCCTAATGGTGCCTACCCATAACAAGAACTTAAGAGATATATATCTTCTTGCTGAACCAACAAAAGAAAGAGTGGTTAGTTAGCTTAGTGGAAACACAGTCAAGCTAATGAGCTCAACTAGCCATCCTAGAAGCATGTGGTGGCAGGAAGGTGCATAAGTAAAATTCTGTCATCGCTTCAGGAAAAGTAGATTGTAAGCCAGTAGCACTTTCTACATGTGTAATGGGTGGCTATTGATTTTTAGTATAATCTGTACCTTCCTTTCAAAAGTTTGATAGAAGTAGTACAATAGCCTGGAATGTATTTATTTTCATTATAAAGCGAGCACCTCCTAAGATGCACTAGAGCTGGAACTGCATTCTTACTGGGATGAACGTGGCCATAGTGAGCATGGCCATGAGCATGTAGAGGGCACGGAATGTTTATCATCATCTTCGTGCTAACTTGTGCAGTTCCTGCCACAGAGACAACACCCTAAATAAAAGTTGGCGAGAATGCATAAATAATGAATAAGGGAATTATAAGAACTCTAAGAAATTCCTAGAAGTTATCTATATTCATTTGTTTGTAGCTTGTCTCCTTACTAGACCATAACTCCACAAATGCAGGGACTTAATGTGACTTATGTCTTGTGCCTAAAAGAGTACCTGACTCCGTATCTTACACTAAAATAGTGCCTGACTCTGTATCTTATTTTTGGAATAAATGAATGAATATATGAATAAAATATATATTTTTAGTTGGAGAAACTAAAGTCATTTATTCAGCCTTGGCTTCTCTTGGTATAATATACCTATTTGTAGATGTACAAAATGAATAAATTTAGAAGATAGGGTAAATCCATATGAGTACACCCAAATCGTCAAAGATAAGGACTTTGCTTTTATTCCTTCCAGTAGTGCCTGTTAGATCTTGTGCCATAGCAGCTGTTCAGTACCTGGTTATGAATCAATGAAATTTAAGAAATTATTAGGGTTCAGATCAAGGTAATTTATTTTTATTTTTCTCTTCCATTGATAAAGAAGTCAGACAAAATATTTATTTTATAAAATGACACATAGAGCACAATAGGTGGAAAATTTCAAAAAGGGTAAAAAATTTCAGAGATGTCAGATTCCTTAAGAAGGGTTAGGTATAAGTAAGAATCTTTGTCTTATGAAAGTAGTACAGATTAGAAACCCAGAGAGGAAGGCAGAAAAGAGAGATTGTAGTTTTGTTTATAAAAGTATCAAAGTAAAACAAACATGTTTGTAATGTCTGTGCAACAAAATTCAAAGTGTGCACATGTAAACAAAGAAAACGTAAGATCACGTTAGTGGTCTATTTGTATATCAATATTTTACCATAGCTGGATTTAAAATGACGATCTATCTAAATTTACCTGGCAGAGTACTTTAGATCTAATTAATCATTGTGAAGGGGTATTTCCAAGGTAAAAGAAAAACCTCATAACAATATTTCACGCAAATCTTTGAATTTTGATGTTTTAACCTTAAGTAAACATGTATTAGTTCAGTACTACATTAAAACGCTTAAAATGCATATAATAAATGATCAATTTTGTTGCATACTGATGAGGAACTACTTCAAAACAGGACTGAGGTTACATGGAGTCAGCTAAACATCCTATAACTTATTTATTTTTTAAAGATCAGTTAAGTACCATCTGTGCGCATGCTTCAACAAAATAATTACCTGTAGATCCTATAGCGCACAGAGGAATAGATCGGACCCATGAGTGGCAGGTAATGGGACTGTATGTGAGTGGTAATGACCTCCTGGCTATGTTTCTGCACTGCCTTTGTCAAGTATGGTCAAGACAGTTTAATACACTCAGTTCCCAGCATCTAGGGTGTAGAAAACCCCGAACTAAGTTGAGACCATGTTTAAGCCCTTGGTCTTCTGTCCTCATGAAGAAAGCAGAGAAAAGCTAGGCTAAGCACAGAAGTGGTGCTGAGGGCCTGACTACGCATACACGGATGGTGCTAAGAGAGCAACACCAAGCTTTCCTGAAAATATGACTGCTTAGTTGGTAGTTTAAAACAATAAAATAGGTTTGGCTATGCTATACTAGCCATCGCCTGAGTGATCAACTTGATCAGCTATTTCATAACACTCTGAGATCCCCGTAGTTCTAAAACATATCTCATGGCACATCATAAGTCTGTTGTAACTGGTTCCAATCCATTATACATTCTATTTTTTATTAAATTATAAAAGGCAATTTCTATCTAATTTACCCTCTTTCCATAGGCTGAACATTTCAATTGGCCTTCTATATGAAAAAAACTTGCTTCTTTTACATAATGAAATTTAATTCAATAATTTGAGGCCACTTTGCTAATTTATCAATTTCCTTGAATCCTAGCTAGAAAATATTTATACCTCCCACCTCCAAGTTATTAACAATTTTCTAACACATTCAACTAGATTCTCTAGTTTGTTAATAAAAATATTGAATACTAAGGCTTAAAACAGATTTCTTGCAGGACTCTATTCAACATCCCTCTCTGACTTGAGGTAAAACCATTCATTTGACTTTCCTCGGCCAATTCTCTGTTCATTTTCAAACAAAAATTATGTAACCGAATATTCTTTTATTTTTTTAACCTAAAAAAACCACACTAGGCAGATTTAAATATCTACATAGAGCAGATGTGTACAATAATATGATTTGTATAGAACCTTTACAAATTATCATATCTAAAATGGAAAAAAAGAATTAATTCATCCTAGAGTGCTTGTGGCTTCTGTGATCAGTTATCACATGTGTGCCCTTTGAGGCTTAATTTCTAATGCATCAGAGATAGTGAAAGAAGTAAGTCTGTAATAAGATTCCATACTGGCACACAAACACATGCATACATGTGAGATTTTTAAAAATCATACTAAATCTATGATGACAATTAATGTTTGACACAAAAGTAATGAAAGCTTAATATCTGGCTTTCAAGAAAAGTACTATCTGATTCTATACATAAGACAAACATACCTACCATGAATTTTTCTAACTATTCTTTTTAATATATAAAGCATTTTATAGACAATAAATGCTTTTGCTTCTTTCTCTCATAAAGCCTAGATCATGGTTAATATCTCATGACACCAAAAGTAATACTGTAACAGATATTAAAGCATTTTTTCAGCCACTTATTCTATAAAATATTAATTGCAAGCCTGTGCATGTGCTGTACATATAGTGGATTAGGTATCTGAGTTCCTGCTCAGTTCTAAATCAATAAAAGGTAACATGTACAGTATCAATCGTCATTCACTCTTCCTTTAGTACATAATTGCAAGGGGGAAGATTTTAAAAAATATATATTTAAGCACTCACGGAGATATTACAAGCTAGAGAGGATGTAAGCAATACTTACCTAGGAAGGACAGGTTTTTCTCTAGAAGCAAGTCTCTCAGCAGGACTTCATGCTCATACCCAATGGCACTGGGAAGTGTTAGTTAAGGAGGGTAACACACATAGAATTATGAAAAGATGCTATCAGGAAAACACTGATACCAGGTCTATACTTTGAAATGAAAAGGAAAATAAGATGTAATTATAGCAAACACTTCCACCTTTAGCCTATATCTCAGATTTCTATACAGCTCCTTTCAATTTAAATGATTCAACACAATTTTTCTATAATGTTTACATGCCTTTTGGCAAACAAAGATTTGTAAATGGATGTCTATGTAGTTTATCTTCTTTGGAAGAGAGGGACAGTCATTTTAAACATTCTTTATTCTACATTAAAAATCTCTCAATTCAACTTAGCACACATTTATTAAGCGCCTACTAAGTGCAGCAAAAAAATACCAAAAAGCCTTTGCCCTAAAAGGGTTTCCAGGCTTATCGCAGTCCCTAAGTCTTCTGTGAACTCACACTTGCACAGGGCCAGCCTTTAGCAGTTCCTGCATCACTTCTAACCTACTGTTGCAGTCTTCTGTGACTTAGGAAGCCAAATAACTGACTTGTTGAGAATTACATATAATGGGAGAGAGAGACATCTTAGAAAGGACTGTAGGTTAGGGTATGTGTATGGGGGCTGTTTCAAGTCTTCTTCTCATGTGCACCATCTTAGAATATGCATACAAATAGATACACACAGGCATACACACATTTTTTGAGTGCTTACTATGAGGCAGACACCCTGGTAGGTACTTTATATATGTTATTTCATCCTTACACTTATCATCATCCTTATTTTTCAGGTGAGGAAACTGAGGCTTAGAAAGAAATCTGCACGAGGTCATATGGTTGAAGTGTGGCAAGGCAGAGGATCAGATAACACCTGTGCAAATCCTGTATTTATGACCTTCATACCACTTCTTGAAAAGTATTAAAATTAATTATGTAAAAATAATTGATACTAGCTAATATTATTTAAATGCCATGTGCTAACCTTCTATGCTATAAACACTTTGGGGGACTATGGTCTTATTTAATCTTCACAGCAACCACATAGGTAGGTAGTCCCATTTTTACAGTTAAGGAAAGCAAGGTTCAGGAAGGCTGAGGAAGTTGCTGAAGGTCCCATGGACAGTAAACAAGGAAATAAAGAATAAGACCTGAAAATCTGGTGTATTTTTCGAAAAGAATGTGATTGTACAGAGAATCCTGAAAAGGAGCATTATCCTATTCTGGTACTTTACTTCTGTCCAAAGCATTTGGTCACAATGATCTAATTCTCCACTTCACTGATAATGGCAACCTGGTCAAATCGTTCCTTGGCTTACCAGAGACTCTTTAATTCTGACCATGCCCTGCAAAAGTTCAATTTCAGCCACATACGGCTGATATGTTGTTTGTAAAAAAAAAAAATTCTAGCAAGTTAGCCTATCTTTAAGGGACACATGCAGGTGAATATAGCTGAGAATCCCAGAGCTGTGGCCGCTCCTGTCAACCGTCAAAATGAACCCTACGTCATCATCGCTGCGGTTTTCCTCCTGCTGTTCCCCGCCACTCTGATGCACATGGCTATGTTTATTTAATTTTTTAATGGAAATAAAATAAAGCAAACACATTTTTAAATAACAAAATCTCACACATTTGCAGAGTCCACTGAAGACATTTGGTGACTACCTCTCAATGATTTCTCATTACGAGGGGCATAGCATATTTTAGAACTAAATTATTTACTTCTATTCCACATAAATGTGCTCTCACTTTTATTGTTGTAAATTATTTACATCTAAAATGTTGAATCATGAAACTGAGGTTACTGATGGTACAGAAATGAAACCCACAGCATTTTAAGCTTCCTGCATTATTATCTTGCCTTGCTTCTCTCCTTAGGTCTTTGTCTAATAGCTGAGTCCTGAAGTCACACTTTGGAAAGTTGAGGTGGCTGCTTTCTCACACCTTTTGTGTCAGTGAATATGACCTGTGGCAGGAAAGGTGTGGGTAGCCTGGCTATGAAGGGAAAAAAATAGAAGACACAGAAAGAAAAGGGAAGCACAATGACTATTTATAGTTTCTTTGCTACTGTGCTTTTTTGGTGTCTTATTAGTAATTGACCAATTTACTTTATTCTACTTACACAAATGTCTATGTGTACCATTTTCATAATGGAGTAAAAAAGTTTTGTACCTATTTGATTTACTAAATGTGTGCTTTCTTTCTTATAAAATGATGTACTTTACTGAGGGTAAGTGCTGTAAACAGTAGCAAATCATCAAAACAGCATAAAAGTAGCATTTTAACTCACATGGAAATCTAGTAATTTTGATTCAGTGTAAAATAAAATAATTCCTATTGATCAGTCTAAGAGACATCTATGCAAGTGTATTTACATTATATAAAACCGCTGCTACCTCAATGCAAAGATAAAATCAGTCCTCTATAAACTTCCCAGCCTATTTTACTTTGCATGGTAAAAGCAATCACCAATCTAAAAATTTGGAAAAATACACTTCTTGATTTTGCTTTACTTGATACAAACCATATTTAAAATAAAAGGTCTAGAAAATAAAGCTTGTAAAAACAGTAATTTTACTGGCAATAGGCACAATAATGGAATTGCAAAATTATAATCTAGTCAGTGAATGCAACTTATAGACATACATCATTATCTTTATCAATTGAAATCATGTACTACATTAAATTCTACTGGCGATAACACAGCAGAAAAGGAAAGTGAATGATGGCAAAAATGTAAGGAAAATACTCCAAACAGAATTTATAATGCTCCATAAGCAGAAACACTTAGACTTTGTCTATAATAATACCTATTATTGATGTATGGCAGTGACCATGGGGCAAAACTTGTAAATAACCTCACAAGCCATTTTCTTCGCCAGCAATACAGCAATCTAGTTTCCCGTAAGCATCTCAACTATTACTGAAAAATAGCCTCCTGGCATTTACAAAGCAGTTGACTTCATACTTTAGTCCATGCATATATAATTAGATAGTTATATTTAAAATCAATATGCAATCCTTCAAAAGACATTATGCTTTTAAAACCTTAACTTTAAATTGATTTTTAACTATTTTATGTGCTTGAAAATTAACATGTAATTCCGCCCCACATACTCTGAAATGGTGTTAGTTGTTACACGAATGTGGTAAACTTTATGGCTGTAGCAACTTCAGGCTGGCATTCCTGCAACTTCTAACACTACCATTAATTTTACAATGAAGATAGAAGATAGAAGTTTTACTTTGGTCTAATAAAAAGGTAAGCTTATAACAATGTTGTGATTTTATTGAGTTAGATTGGGGAGAACAGACTTGGAGAATTAATATATCAAGGACTACAACATAGATAATGACTATTCTTACAAGGGGGCTCTGTTAAAAGATTATTTTTAAAGGTTATCCTTTATGAAAAAAAATGAGTGATTTTTTTAACAAAAAGTTTACTGACTCTAAGCCTTTATGAAACAAATGAAATATAAGTATGAATGCACATGTGCACGCACACCTGACTAGCAAGGGCTTCCATAAAAGCCTCCTAACTGGTCGCCAAGTCACAACTGGTTCCAGTGCCACCCAGACCAACGAGACCTGTACCAGGAAGGGCACGTTCCATTACAAGAAATGTGAGACTCATGGACTCAGATATAACTGAAAAAAGACTCACTCTTTCAATAGCATTTTTAGCTAAGGATTATATCAAAATTCTTAGTGTTGCCACAACACTACTAAATATATTGATGAACAATGACCTGTGTCATGAAGCCATAACGATCCACTCAAATCCTGTATTAAGAAGTAAGCATTCACTCTTTAGTAATCTCAAAGTCTTTAATGAATGAGTGGACATCTTTTCATAGCCTTAAATTCAGTCCTTAAGGGCCGTGGCCAGGTAGTTCTGTTGGCTGAAGCATGACCCCACTGTGCCAAGGTTGCAGGTTTGATCTCCAGTCACGATGCATACAAGAAGCAACCAAAGAATGCATAAATAAGTGGAACAACAAATCGATGGTTTTCTCTTTCTCTTTCTTTTCTTCTCTCTCTCTCTCAAATCAATAATAAAAATAAAATCTAGTTCAGAGGGAAAAATTAGCTTGGTTTCTCTAAAAATGTTTATTAGGGATCTAAATGACAACTCAGATTGTAATCAGCATTTAGGCAATAAGAGTCTACTGCCCTTTAAAATGTTATGGTCTCTGGCGACATTTTAATCACATCATCCTTCAACTTCAGGAAAAATTTATTCTAGCAAACTCAACTGAATTCTGCTCATTTTAAATAGAAATTTGTTCTATTTTTAAAAATGTTCATTGGAATGGTTAGATACATTCCAAGACAGTAAGTTACCTGCCTAATGACTCTGTACCTTTAAACTCATTGAAAACCAGGCAGTTTGAAATAAGCATGTGAATGTGCAGCTGCTGAACTGACATCTTCCTGTGGCCTATGTGGTTTTTCTTCAGCTGTAGGAGAGAATGGTCTACAGTGACCCTCCAGTTGATTGAATGTAAACTAGAAGAGTATGAAATGTGTTTTGTGAAGCAGAACTTTATGTCACGTTAAAGCTAGACACATCTCCTCCACTGCTTCTAAGCTCGTCAATTGTGCACCTAAAATTTTATGGGAAAGGATACTGTTTGATGCAGTCCACCAGTGGTCCATAACAGCAGTCATTCACAATGCACTGCAGACAAATAAGGGAAGGGGTTTGGGGTTGGGGTGACTACAGAAACTACTACAGTTAAACAGTATCCTAAAATTTTTTCCTTACATTTTTTTTTTATAAGCTCTCAAAAGGCTGTTTAGATTTAATCACAGAAAACAAAAATTGCATGCTTTTTATTCACTATAAAAGCAAGCTATTAAAAAGTGAAATGCTCTTCTCGCAAATATCGCATTGCCATTTATGGCGCACCCTGACCTCAGTGATAGTTTATGATGACAGTAATTAAATGAGGTTTAAAATCCTTTACTCTGCTAGGCAGATAACAGCATTGCCACTGAAAATAGACAGCTGTGATTAATACCTGATAGACCTGATTTGCTAGAACTCCATCTGGAATCTGAGAAGGGTCCCGTAGCATACTATTTATAACAGACTTGGAGGCTGTGGAAGAAAAGAGATGAACTGTTAGCAAACAGTCAACATACTTTTAATGCAACATGAGAAGTGACTTATACCTATATACATACAAATCATGACAATGAAAACACTGCTGATAGTAATCATTTCCTTTTAATAAATCTACAAAAAGCTTTTAATTAGACCACTTTGCCAAGTTTGTGAGTCACGCTGCCAGGTTTGAAGATGACCTAATTTTTCCAAGGTAAATTAACAAGTACAGATCTAGCATATGTCTATTTGCAGATAAATTAGCTTTGGAAAGCCCATTTGGGGAAAAGAAAAACACAACAAAGACAATCGGAAAAAAAAATATTTACCTTTTGCAGGTAACTATTTTATAACCATATGTATATGGAGGGCTTATTGAAGTCAGGTCAGACATCAATAAAAATAACTTTCAGCCAAGAAAGCATTTCTGAATTCTAAACCTTTCTAAAATAATTCTCATCAACTGCTATAAAATGTCCATTTCACAGTTGAGAAATAGATAAAATGCCAAAGAATTGAGGAAAACTTAAGAAAATATATAGCATCTGGCACAAATAATACCTCTTTTTTATTACAAAATCTTTTATTACAAAATCACAAGTAATTCTGTAATATAACAATATCACACTCAAGCACACCATATGACATTTTAGATGAAATGTTCAAATTACTGTCTTGCGAGAGACATTCACACACCATATCAACCACACTCAAGCAAGCCTTATTTCTGCTGGACCCTGTATACACACACGCACGCGCGCACGCGCGCACACACACACACACACATGCACACGCACACACACACACATGCACACACACACACATATTTATATATGAATTTTTGTTCGAAAATATATCTCATTAAACCCAATGTAAATTAAACTGACTTTATCCTAGAGAACTGTTATAGAAGAAGAGGCTTCTAATAAGGGATGCTATATCAGGTCACACTCTTTGAAAACTGAGACAGGAGATCCTGGCCTCGCTGTTTGCTGCAGGCTCATGAAAACCAAGGCGGACAAAACTCCCTCTTCCTCTGCAATGGAGGAATGAAAGTTTCTAGACCAGCAACTTTCAACTGGTGTGCCACAAGACTTTTTAAAACATCCAGTACCTGACTATTTAGTCAGGGGCACTGACCTCTTTACCCTTAGATTAAATAAAAAAGTGACAGGAACCAACACAATGATAGCTGACCAATGTGAATGAATCAAAAATTATAATCTTTTTTCAGATCGGCAAAAAACATATTTATTTTGGTGTGCCCCAGAATTTTAGTAATTAGTTTATGTGTGCCATGAAATGACAAAGGTTGAAAATCGGTGCTCTAGATTGAAGCTAAGTCAGGTGTTGCCTAGGAATCAATTCTTTCAAGTCCTCCAAAGGAATAACTCTCAAACATTTAGCAAAATAGCTTGAGGTCTGGTCCTTACTAGCACAATCTAAAATGCATATTGGATGATTATCTAGTTAATAGAATAAACACAGACCACAGATTTACATCATTCATGTTCTGAGATCATTTTTGGCTTACCCCCTCCCATTTTTTAGATTGTTATGTTCTTTATCAAGGTCAGTACCATAAAAACACTGACAGGTATGGTAACTTAGTAAATACTGTGAAAAGATACAAAGAAATTACATCTTTCTCATTTTTCTTCTTTTTTTCTTTCAATGTTGCCGGTTATATTTTCCTTGCTTGTTTGTTTGTTGGTTAGGTTCCACTTATAGGTGAGATCATACGGTAAAGAAACCAACAAAATCAAGAGGGAAGGGGGGCGGGGAGAGGGAAGGGAAGGGTCATGTCAAGGAACATGTATAAAGGACCCATGGACAAAGCCAAAGTGGGAAAGGATTGAAGGAGGGAGGTGAGGGAGGGGAGCAGGGGAAAGCGGCAGCAGAAACTTGGAGACAAATGTATTTGAACAATAAAAAAAAAATTAAAAAAAAAAGAAATTACATCTTTTTCACTTAAGCATAGGACTGAGTCCAGAAAGGAAAAATGAAGTTTGATTATATCAATTATTTCCTATTTTTAGTCACATAACTGTATGCTTATAGTAACACTTCCATACTTAGAGCCATTTGTCGTTGTGTTTGCATTGCAAGTGGAGAGGCCATATGTGGAATCCTAAATACACCTCATGACCTAAAGAAGCTTGTTCAGCCCTATCTATACAGCTAGCTCTGCAACCTGGGCCACTTATAGAACCTTTCAAATTCAGTGTCTTCATCTGTAGAAGGTGATAACATTATTTGAGCTTACTACATTAAAGGTTTCTTGTGTGATTCTATAGAGAAAAATACCTCAACAGCTGTTTTGTTATTTATTTCGTTAAAGCTGAAGTAATATTGAGGACCAAATCAGGCTTAGGCATTTACTTCCTATACACTTAAGTTGGACTCAATTATTTGAGGGAAATTACCATGGATGAATAGTACAAACACTGAGAATATGAAACAGCAAAAGCATCTCAATGTAAAAGAACAGATTATTACAACAATTGTGTTCAATAGATAGCAATGTACCTGGTAAACTCACTCAGCTTTCCTAACTTAATTCTAAGGCTGGCCAGTCAAGGGGACTGAGGAAGTTGCTCATGCATTTCATCACCTTCTCTGAGGGTACTTACTCTCTCTGGTTAGCCACTCTGTCATCCGACAGTAATGGCAGGCACAGTCTTTTAGGTTACCTATAATGCCCCCAATGTTCCAAGGAAACAGGAGCACCTTCTCCACATGTACCTGTAACCTGGTTGTTGCTAAGATGTTACACTGCTAACTCTCATACCCTTGGGAGGATAAAACTATTAATCTCTAAATGGCCAGACAGCATAATCAAAAGTGTTATCCTACGGAAAATTACAGACCTCATAACCAACTCTAGGCAAACTCATTGCTAAAGTCATAAAACAAAGACTCTTTTTTGAAAAAGAAGAGGAACAATATTCTAGGACATACGAAAATTAGGTCATTTATTTTATGAGGGAAGAAAGGGAAATATTAAAGAAAAAAGAAACTGATGACATCATAATTTTCCTCACAATATAAACTTTAGAATAGTGTGCTTATCAGAATTAAGAACATAGACAATAAACTTTAAAAAAGTAGTTTGAATGTATTGAATAGCACACTATACAAATCAAAGGAAGCTTGCAAGAGGAAGTCATTTTAAATTGAATAGTAAAAACTATATATTGAGTCCACATTCATGCAAAAAGTATGCCTGAATCTCAGATGAAGCCAGAGTGCAAACTTACTGTTATACACATATTCTGAAGCTTCAGAAATGCCAAAGGGAAAAATAACAGCATCAGCCAGATAAGGAGAGGCAACTGGACAATCTTGGGAGGGCTGGAGATGACAGGCCTCAAGAAAGCCTATGTCCTTCATGGAAGCTGTCCCTACGCCAGCTGCTACCTCTGTCCAATCGCATCTGTATTTTTTGACCATTTGTGGACCGGAGCCTTGTTCTCTCTAACACCTGCCAGAGACATTCATTCTATTGATTTCATAGTTTACATGCCACTGCTTCAACTGCCAGCAGTTCAACTTTCTAGCAAGCACGTACAGAGCAGGAATGCCTGAATCACTTGGAGCTAGACGCATAAGAATAGGAAAGAGCTGGTACCTGTTAAAGCTACAGAGCACAGACAACAGGCAATGCCTGGACTAAAGTATAATGCCTAAGTAAAGATTATGATATTTTCAGTGTGGAGTATTTCTGATAAAAAGAAGTCAGAAGCCTAGTATAATAAACATTCACCTACCCACCAACTCTGATTTAATTTCTGGATCTGTAATTAAATGAACTTTAAATACCCTAATATTAATTTGTGTAAACTTTGTAAATCTATCAGTCCTGCTAGAGGTTGGGTTATTGTGATCTTCAAGAAAGTAAATGTTGTTTTGGTTGATTCTCTGTAAATTAATTACATTTATTTTTGTGATCATTATCTCCTGCTCCTACATTGAATTTGCTACATTATTCTTTGGCTAACTTACTATTTTTATTAAATGAAATTTCGATTATTTATTTATTTATTTATTTATTTATTTATTTATTTATTTATTTTTACAGGTCCCAAGCAGTGAGCCACAAGCAAGAAAATTTCTTTGTTTCCCTTGGGGTTATATTAGCTTGGGTTTGGGGCAGGCCAGGGGCTTTCTCAAAATGACCAATCCACTCTCCAAAGTTTCTCACACTTGAGGTGGGTCCACCTCCCAATCAATTCCTTCTTACCCCAGGCTAGACTGACAGTTCCCTTTAATCCAGCACCTCCCCTGTCACCGTTTGATTTCTATGGTGCATGTGCTTGCCTCCCTCGCCTCCCATCACACCCCCAGTTTCCCGCCGGAAGGTGGGGAGGGTTTTTTTTTCTCTATCCATTTATCCTGCTAGCCTTGTGGTGCTCAATGTAAAAACCTCCCCCTGCCGCCATCTTGGCTGCTTTAGGAGACTCCCCTGACCCTTAACTCCACACCTCCCTTGCCCTAGTTCCTACCTGCAGCGGGTTGCCATCACTTGAGGCCCACCAACAGAGAACAACTCATCCAAAGGCCTAAGCAGAGGAACTGGGAAACTCTACAGGGCCTCTCAGGGAGCAGCAGGAGGCCTCCGTGGGAAGGGCAGGGCATATGAAGGCAGCAGCAGGGCAACAGCACCAGGAGAGGGGCGTTTACAACACCCCTCCTTGGTTACCCAGGCAGTGCGACCCTGTGCCCTGTGGAGGCGCATCCTGGCACTGTGCTGCAAAACCTAATGTCCTCTCATTAACCCCGGGCTGTTTTGGAGACTTTTTTTTTTTTTTTTAAATTAATGAATTTTTTTTCACATACATTTATCTCTGCCTACCCCCCACCACTTTCCCTTGCCCCCGATCTTTTTATTTTTAACATATATTTTTTAAGGCTATAATTTTTCCTCCAGATTCTGCTTTAGCTACATGCCACAGGTTTTGTTGTCATTTATAAATTTTATAGGTTTCATAATA